AAAATAGGGTAGTAGCACCAGGTCATGTAATAATGAAAGAGAAAGAAAGTCTGGTGGTTGACAACAGCAAATTGTTGCGCCTACATAAGCCGATGCTCTCTTAACGAGAGCATCAGCTACCATGTTCGCATAGTAAAAGGCATGAGCAATAGACGACATATGGGGTGAGAGTCTTGAACAGCAGTTATCAACTAACGTCTGCAATTTCCATGGGGCACTGCAACGATTCTGAATAACACCTACTAGAAGAGATGAATCACTTTCTATTTGTATCGGGAAGCAGCCCATCTGATTAACTAAGAGAATACCTACCTTTAGAGCCTGGAATTCCGATTCAAAATCCAAAATTACTTTCTTGGAATGACTCAACAAGCTTATGGCCCACAATCTGTGGCAGGGACCCATGCAAGGCTTATCAAAGTCTATCCAATATGTTGCTCAAGACTCTCATAACTACTCGAGCTCTTATCAACTATATGGTCCTCGTTGTCCTGGACAACACATCGTCATGAGGCATAAAACAATTTGACTGTACAGGTAACCATCAACGCTCTTGGTGTCTCTCACACTCAAGCCTCATGACACGGGGTTTGTGACTCTTGATCCCAGTGTACCAAGATCCTAGAGTAACATGCCTCGCTCACTCCCATCGTGATCAAGAACTATAAAAATATTGGGGTCAAGGCCATAAAAGGTCACAACTCCAAAATTAAAGTTCTAAATTCTGACAATGAGGGTGAACATGCCTCCAAGGGTCTCAAAGATTACTTGAGGGATAAAGGTATAGAGTTCCAGAAATATGCCCTTATACTCCTCAACAAAATGAAGTTGCTGAGAAATAACTGACACTTACTGGAAGTCACTTAATCTTTATTGTTTGGAATGAACGTTCTAAAAACCTTATGGTATGAGGTTGTTCTTACTACAACATTATTAAAAAACCTATACCATCAAGAGTTCTTCAAGGCAAATCCCCTATCCCAATACGTCTTCTTGATATTCCTTTATTTCCCATACCTCCCAAAGTCTTTAGTAATGTGTGTTTTGTCCGTGTTTTTTTTTTTTTGAGATTATGTGTTTTGTCCATGTTTTGGGGCCAGAAGCAGATAAACTAGACCCCAAAGCCATTAAAAGTGCCTTCTTAGGGTATCTAGCAACTCAAAAAGGGTTCCAGTATTATGATCCATTAATAAGGTCCACCATGTCTTTATGGATACCACCTTGTTTGAACATATTCCATATCCCTTTCCTACTCAAAAGCAATGCTCTCTTCAAGGGGAGAATAGTAAAAAAGAGGAAAGCAATCTTGTGTCACAACCTTAACCTACTCCACCTCCAGCTCCATTTATTTTTGAAGTTTCTGAGATGCCTCAAAACTAAGATGGGAATGTTCCAATTGCAACAGTGAAACAAGTTGAAGGCATATTTTAGAAAAAAAAAATTGGTACAACCCAAAGTCTAAAATGAATATGACTCAAGTGTCGAACTGGAACCATGTATTGATCCTTCTCATCCTGCCATTTCTTCACCTTCAAATCCAATCATAGTGTCACATATTGACTTACCAATTACATAATGCAGGAATAAGCACTCATGTACGCAATATCCTATAAGTAACTTTGTTTCTTAGAATATTGCCATCTTTTTGTGTTGCTTCCCTATCATTTGAGTTTGTTGTTAGCATTCCATCTAGTGCAACAAAGGTTGTATCACAACCTCAGTGGAAAGCTACGATGTGGAAGGACATGCAAGCTCTTGAAAGGAACAAAATTTGGGAGCTCACTAAAACTCCTAAAGGGAAGAAGTGGAAGGTAAGACGCAAGTGGATGTTTACAGTGAACTACAAAACAAATGGCATGATTGATGGATATAAGGCAAAGTTGCAATAGAGAAGTTGTAAATAAATAAGGTATAGATTATGAAGAGACTTTTGCCCCAATAGAGAAGTTGGAAACTATTAAAGTCATTATCTTTAGTGGTAAATAAATTTTGGCCTTACCATCAGCTAGATGAGAAAAACGTTTTTTTGCACGGAGATCTTCATGAGGAAGTGTATATGGCGGAGCCTCGAAGATTTCAGTTTCAAGGGGACACAGGAAGCGTGTGCAAATTGAAAAAGGTGATATATGGACTTAAACAATCACTAAGAGCGTAGTTTGAGAAATATAGTGAAGACTTGCTAAAAATTGGGTTTAAAAGAAGTCAAGCTGATCATACACTATTTGTGAGGGAAAAAGGTGTAGGGATTACAACAGTAATAGTGTACGTTGATAATATAGTAATAACAAGGCATAGATTAGCAGATATTAAAGTGGCAAGATCAAAGAACAAATTGCTATCCCTCATAAGAAGTATTGGATTTTGTCAAAAAAAATTGGAATGTTGGGGACCAAACTGATGGATAAACCTATTACCAATGGTAATCAATAATATACTTCATAAACAGATGAGAGAGTTACTTAAGGATCCTAGTCAGTATCAGAGGCTTGTGAGCAAGCTTATATATCTTACAATTACACAACTAGATACTCCTCATGTTGTTAATATAATTAGTCAGTTCATGCACGCCCCACAAAAACCTCATTTAGATGTTCTCTACCATATCCTAAAGTATCTCAAGCCATATCCTGGTAAAGGATTGCTGTTTACTAATCGGGATCATAAGGGTGTTGCAATTTACAGTGATGCAGATTGGGCCGGTTCACAAACCAATCGATGGTCAACTGCAGGTTATTGTACCTTTGTTCATGGAAGAGTTAAAAAACAAAATGTGTGTTGAAGCAGAATACATGGCTATGGTACATGGGGCAGGTGAAGTTATGTGGGTGAAAACTATTGGCTGACCTAGGAGTTAAAGTTTAATTACCTATGCCCCGTAATAGACTGCAAGATATAGTTGTCAAGTTGGGCATGATTGAAATCTAGCTCCAGCTTGCAAGGGAATGTTGAAAGCACAATAATAATAGTTGAGTCTACAGGGTTTTTTTTTTTGAGAGAAGGCTAACTTGTATTAAAAAAGTATGGAATTACAAGTACACAGTTCCGCAGTCACCCACAGGCGGGGACTCGGTAAAAAATCGAGAGGTCAGGTTTATACAGAGATATTACAAAAATACAGGGTTGCTTAGTTTAGCAGTGAATTCAAATTAAACCAAAAAGAAGGGCTTATAGAACAGCCCTTTCACACTGATATACAAAAAGCTTTCAAAAAGTAAGCTCCTGTGCAAAGAAAGGTCTAAAGGGTTAATGTGGGTTATAAACCCATACAAGGATATTTTTTGAAATTTTGCTCATCAATAATAACAAATTATATGACTGATCACAGGAAAGAATCACATCATTTTTTCTCTCTCTCATTCTCACGTAACTCTCTATTCTCTCCCTCTCTCTCATGCATCTATCTCCCCCTCGTTATTCTATATCTCCATTCTTGTTCCTCCTTCAATTAGTGGGTGTTTAGAATATACATACATCATATATCTTTCAACAAAGTTGAATCACTAGGATGTAAAACAAAACATTGTATGTATAAGGGTTAGAAAATTAACCTCTGAACCCAAAATATTTAAAATCTTTTCCGTAGAAATTTAACTAAAACTTTCACTAAGTTAAATGTCTTTTTATTAAACAAATAATTAATTATTAAAATGGCCGAATGCTTTGAAATTTTTGTTGACTATTATTCACGTATATCAGATTATGTAGACAAGTGAATCTTGCAAATTGTTAAGTAGAATATAAGAAAACAAAGTTACATGCTCAAAATTCATTCTATACATGAGGTACATTTAGGTTCTAATCATATAATTTTCAAGAAAATTGGAAACATGTATCGGGTCTAACAATACATCAACTGACAAGCATCAGTTACAAGGATCTCCCAACTTGGTGGCAATCCCAGTCACCCCATGCTCCCGAAGCGGGATCTTGGGTGGATCACAGTCCCTTAGGGAATCAGTCAATATAAGTCATAACCTATTTAGATGGATCTTTTATAATGAAACAAGTCTGAAATGCATATCAATCAAAAAAATAATTGCTGGAAGATTCATGTTCTATATATTTTCCGAAGATAAAAGAGATACTTTAATCCATATCTATTAAAAAAAGAAAGTCTTTAATGCATATCTACCAAAAAAGAAGGAATTACTGATGAAAATCCTAGTACTTTTTTTTTTCTTTTCTTTTTTTTTTTGTGAGGAAAAGATGCTTATATCCAGATCAACGAAAGAAAAAGATAGTCCTAAGTGCAATGGTTTAAATTCATCTATCTTACCTCTCTTTATATTTATTCTTTTTCAATCTATGCTTTATTTTGTTAATTTATAATGAAGGGGCAGGGGAAGAAATGGAAGAACCTATTTTGAGCTAAATTTATTAATATCTTTAGTTAAAATTCACAACATAATTATCAAATAAATGACTTCAATATATTATTATGCAAGACTGTCATATGATATGACTTGAGTAACTAAATATGAGTATGAAAATTTTCTTGAGAAAACACATTCTAAGTAAAATAGATATAATCCTAATATGTATATTCTGTATTTAAATATTTTCACAAAATTGTGTGTACATTTATTTTTAAATTTTCATAGTTTTTGTATATATATTATAAGAGCACTCACGTAACGCTCCTAAAGTAGGGAGCTTCTTCCTACCCACATTCCCGCGCTCCCCCACTCGCTAACACTTCCAAGAACTACATGAAAAAGAAACTAACACAACCTGGTCCCATCAGATCAAGAAAGATTTTTTAAATTAATTTCTCAACATACTTTCCTATAGGATCATTTGGTATGTCAAGATCACTTAACATAGCACTAAACTAAACTGAATGAAATTACAAAACACCAGGTAAAGGATAACTTTGCAATGAAAAAATAGAACCAATCAAAACTGAACAAAAAATCTTAACAACCAATAGAAATCTAGTACATATAACAACCAAAAACTATAGAGAACAACAAACAGCACCCAACAAATAACCAACATACCTTAGGGGGTAGGTGATTTGATAACAAAGTATTTGTCCTCCTGAGAATGAACTGAAAAAAAAAAATACATCACGGACCATGAAAAGTATAATATAACAATGGAGGGTCAATACCAAAAATATCACAAGAATACAACAAAATGAGGCAGCCAGTCACATTTCTCGGAATTGAAACAATAATACATGACAAGTGCACTCAATGCAAAAAAACATCATCATCATCATTATCAGAGCCTTTTTCCCAACTATTTGGGCAATGCAAGAAAACATACATGTTAAAATAAGTTGAGCAGGCCATTTTTGTTAAGTAATACCTGATTTACTTTTGCACTTAACTCACTTGATCGCTCAAACCCTAACTTTCTCTCTTCATCAGTTGCATTTGGCTCTCTTCCACAAACAATTGGTGCCTAGGAAGACATTAAAAAAAAAAAAGATTCTGCAACATCAAATTAAAATCCTATATAAAGAAGTAGAAAACATAGACACTTTCAAGTCTTTACTTTCAAGGTAAGCTAGACAAAAGTGCCTGAGTAATTAAAACTAAGATTTATAATATTCCTGAAAGCCGATTAGTTGAACTCATAAAAATGATAAAAAGAAAGCTCTCTGACCAAAAAAGGAGAAAGAGATAGCCGAACAGCTCACCTCATAGTAACGACGAAAAGTAGTTGCATCTCCAAGAATCCCAGGATTAGTAAAGTTAACCATGGAAAAGAACTCCTCAAGATCATTCTAAAAACAAGAAGGCAACACGAAGTTAAGGACAGGAATTATGTTATAAAGGCATGAAACCTCAAGAAGGTTACGAGACCTGCATAGGTGTTCCTGATAACAAAATGCGCCTGCTACATGGTAGAGAAGCCAATGCCTAATCCATATCCAACAAACTTGGTAAGCCCATATTGCACACAAGTCACAAGATAATGGAGCATTCAATGATAATAAGTAAATTCCCAATAAATCAAGTCTCTTACGCGGTTTGTCAAGGTATTCTCATTTTTGAGCCGATGAGCCTCGTCACATATGAGAAGATCACAACAACCAGTCTTGCAAAATTTTGATGAATGCATACGAAATGTCTCATATGAAATAATCAGCACCTAGAAATGAAGAGCTTCAAGGCTCAATTGATCACCCCAATTCACAACATGCATATAAATTATTAGACCCAGAATAACTTGCCCACAGTAAATTGTACATAATAAGTTACATTGTACATAATAAGTACCTGAGAAGGGCTATGAGGGGAAAGGAAACTGTCAATCCCTGAAACAACATCAGCTCTAGCAGTTTCACATAGAGCAATAAGTGGTACCCTTCCTTCAAGCCATTTCACAATTTCAGATTCCCAATTGCTCACGAGGCTTGTAGGGGTCACTATCATTGCCCTCTTGGCGATTGCCTTTCCATCAAATCCCTGACGAAGAAGAGTATATAGCAAGGTGATTGATTGTAAGGTCTTCCCTAAACTGCACAAATTGTGCTGATATCAGTATTAAGTGCAAGTCAGAATCCAAGCTAGATAAAAGAAACTAAATGACCATAAACTGGAAAGCCGCAGCTTCAGATTTCGTGATCCATCAATGCAGTATACATAGGGATGAGGTATTTACCCCATATCGTCAGCTAGGATACATCCAGAAATACCAGCTGCTTTCGATAGACCCAAAACACACTCGAACATAAACTGTACACCTTCTCTGCATTTAAAAATGATACCTTTCGGCCAGTGAAGACATAATGTGGTCCAAGCAGATAAAAGTCACTGCAATATCTAAGCATGAAGTACACTGCAATATCTAAGCATGCATAAATTTCTTCTGTACTAAAAAGAATAGTAGGCATACAGATCACACATTGAATACAGTTATAAGATATACTAGCTTGCAAGGTTTGGAAAGTACACCTTGCTCCAATGAACTGTGGAAAAAACATCACATGTTAACATTCAATGAAACAATGGACAGTGATGAGCCTACTGGATTCATGTAGGTGGGTCCCAAACTCTGTGCATTACCATCCATCATTTCAATAGGCAATGATGACCGGATGGGCTGATTTTCCCATAAATCATTGGAGTATCATATATTTTCCCCCTTCGGAATTTGCTGTCCAGGGATTACTCTTTAAAACACAAGTTTATGCAACTTCCAATAATTGTGAAAGGATTTGTAATGAATTCATAAATTCATATGGAGTATCTAATTTAAAGAAACTGTAATTGCTTAAGCTCTCGAACTGTCACCTATAACAAGATATCAAACAACATACCTCTGATGAGGTCGAAGAAAACGAACAAGTAATGGATCTACAACTATTGGTGTCAAATTATCTCGATCCATTTCTGATTCTCCAGGTTGCCACAATACCAAAGGCTCAATCCCAGGTGGAAGAGACTGAATCTCCTCCACCGTGTCTTGGTTAACTTCATTTGGGATCTTAAGAAAGCTACTAATTGCAACCAAAGCTGGTCTAGAAGAACCCCAAGGAACAAACCTCTTCCTAGCCCAAAGGCGACGAAAAAGATCTTCATTTTGATCTCTATAACCATTTTTAGAGGGAGGTTTAAATGGTTTTCTAGCTGTGGCTGCACCATCTGATATCGAAAGACTGGGAAGTAGAGACTGTCTCCTCACAATAAGGTTTCCCCTAGAAATCCAAAATGATAAATATTACTCATTTGCAAGTCTCAATAATCCATACAGAAACAATAATTGCAAAGAAACAGTTTGTGACAGTTTAGAGATAAATAACCCATGAAATCAACTTCTGCATATTATTAATGCTAAGGGGTACAAAAACAGATCCTAATACCAACGTTTAAGAATAGGAGCTTCATGCACGAATATCATTCAAAATTCAGGTAGAACAAGAAACACTGCTGTTTGCATACTAGGTCACCATCTAGGCCTAACAAAGAAGAAATATCTCAAAAGGCATCTAAGTCTAATAATGAAGACATACCTCAAAAGGGCATCAATATTCTGCATCTTCCTATCCTCGTCAGACATGGTAGACTCAGAAGATAGTACTTCATCATCTTCCGCATAGTCTTCATCACAATCTCCATCTTCATCGCCATCTTCTCCGGAAGCAGACGCAGAGGCCGTATCGTCCTCGGCATCCAGAGCACCAAATTCCTCAATCGAAACAAGTCTAGCACAGCCATGGCCAGGTTCAAAGTTGCCTGCGGTAGGGCAAATGTACGCACCATGGCCATCATTGGCCTCGGGAGAAAACCTTAGGCTCTCGGACTTGCAGTGAATGCATTTGACGCGCGACTCCTCTTCGCCAGTTTTCACCATTTTCTCCCTTCTTTTGCTTGTTGCTTCCCGTCTTAAATGGTATGAGATTGGTTTTCCCGCGCCTTGCGGGCGAGTTGAAATTCGGAAACGTACACCATCGAGCATGTGCAACGTGATCCGGATCCGTGATTTATAAAACGGATGGGTGACCAATTAGGCACGCCAATAACCGGTCTCTATCGATAAATAAGCGGTTCGAATCACCATTTTACTGTGTAAAAAAAAATAGTGAATAGACAAAAAAAACTTGAGAAAATAGTGAACTAGACAAAAATAGGTTCGGATTGGTGAATCACAAGTCTGGATAATCGTTTTACAATAGAGAATCGTTGTTTTATTGTGCGGAACCTCTAGGTCATACTGGGTGATTCTGTGCCAACCTGACATTTCTTAAATCACTTATATAGACACAAATATGTGATAAGAATTGAGATGGCATATCAAGAGAATATTTATATTTGTTACAAGGATGTCATAATTGCCACTAGCCATTAGAAGTAGCATTTATATTTGTTGAGATAAATTTTTTTTTGTTATTTTGAATTTAGTCAATGACACTTACAACCACCCGATTTGAAATCCGACGAATAAGAGTGATTGTGGCCTCCTTGTATTAAGTAAGCATGTGGTATGTACAACGCTGAGGCTCCAACCAATCAAAGTAAAGCGCACTTTCAAATAGTATCGAGAAATATGGTTTCATTACTATAAATCTTGGTGATAGCCTTAAAACATATTTTTATATTTAATTATAAAATTTAAAGCTTCAAAAACAGTGTAGATCAAGTAGATATATGAAAACTTTAAAATCTTGAAAATTGATGGTCAAAAAATACGTTGCAAGATGCACTATTTCCAAAATTTGAGATCTATTTTTTCTCGTGTCTGTGCATCTTGATATCAATATGATCAATCTAAGGATATTTGGGCACCAAAACAACCTCTTCTAGTAAAATTTTTCATTTTGTATTTCTCAATATCAATGTACAATTCTCTCGTTTAGTTTTAAGATCATTTTATATTGTTATGGCCATAAAATTTGACAGAACTATTATTCGTTAATTTTATATTTCTTTATTTTACATAAATAAGGAGATACCCACTTTCATATTGTTTACTTCATATTTATAATAGAAAAATAATAATTTATTATTAGTTAATTTGTATGTTAAGTAAGTATTAATTTTTAAAGGAGTAAGTATTTAAAATAGTTAATTTTATTTAATAATTTAAATTATAGTTTTAGTTTAATTATTTATTATTCATTTAATAAATTAAAATTATAGTTTTAGTTTAATTATTTATCATTGATTATTCATTTAATAAATTTAAATTATAGTTTTAGTTTAATTATTGATCATTGATTTTTCATTTAATTAATTACTACTAATTTTATTAGTTACTATTTGTTGAATTAATTATCCATTTTGAAATTCAGAATTTAAAGACAATTTTAAAATTGGTTATATAATTTTTTTAATGAAGATACCGTGATTTGTTTTACAACTGCTACTATTGTTGTTAGTTGTTGGTATGATTGTTAAGTACGCCTAAAATGACCATACTAAATAAATATATTATAAGGAAATAATTATCATATTTTATTAATACTCTTGATTATTATAGTAACACTATCATATATCATAACCATAACAATAAATAATTATATTATGGTACAAACCGTTTTTTGTAGTCAAGACAACATAATTATTTTCAAATATTTTAGATATTATATTAAACATTTAGTATACTCATTCGTTATAAATAAATTATACTTAAAATTATCCACACTATAGTTGCATTAAAAAAATTATATTGAAGAGTTGTGCTAGAACTAAGGACTCAATAAAGCCATGCATGTGTGGAAT